AAAGGTTATGGAAAAACAAAAGGAAATGAAAAATGAGTATCTTCATTGATACTATTTTTGACAGTGTCTCCTATGACAGTTATATTATTTACTAGAAAAGATAAATATATAAAATATACATAACATTGATGAACAAGTTTAAAATGTTTAATTAGAATTATCTTATATTTTGAAATGAGCATGCATATTATTCTTAATGCCTTGTGTTACTATAATTTAGAAGCATGCTGTGCTCACTGAGTTCTTTTATGACTCACTCATATATTTATAAATGAATACATGTATTATTCAGAAGTTTAAAATGACTAAAATATGAGAAAATGTGTATCGTAGGCGCGATGCTCCAAGAGAAATATATTTACATTCTTTATTTTAGAATTTTGAGATTTTAGTTGCTCTTTCAGACTTTAGGTATTGGAGATAGTTATACTAATTGAAAATTTAATTAACCATCCGACCGTCTGTTCTTGCCTCGCTAATTCGAGCCTCCAGGTCGAGTCTTGACAACATGGAATTACATATTTCTGCACTTGTAATTTTCTGTTTGTTGCAGCTAATATTTTCGCAAATTACTAGATTTCGCTGCAGCATTAATTTCCTGTATTGAAAAGCATAATTGGTAATGATTTCCAGCACGTGGAGTGTTCAGCTATTCTTGTTAGTGTCCTAAATTTATTATCTTTTTACCTTCTCTCTTCTCTCTCTGTCTGAGATTCTCTTCATAGACTAAGGTCCTCTTTTAAAAAAAAATGGTAAAATATGGTACAGAGCAAGTTTGACCTTCCCTAAGGCATCAGGAGGGGAATCCTCCAAGTCAAACGTCACCCCTAACCCAGACACTCTCATCCCTCTAGCATCTAATGAGCTGACAACTTAATCCCAAACACAGGTCATAAGTTGAATGGCCACAAATATCTCCAATGGTCACAATTCGTTTCCACAATTATCTCCAACGATCACAAACGTAGATCACAAGTTCTCAGGCCTCTCATGTTCACCACTCAAGTTCCCAAATATTTTAGGGGTGAGGTTGTATGGATTATAATCTAGCTCATAAATAGAATGCCCTCTTATATTCTCAACTTCAAAACCCCATTTATGGCCTCTTAAAGCCTATCCCAACATAAGAATCATTTCCACACTTCCTCGAAAAATCTTTGAATGCTTGTCCTTTATCCACATTCATCCCGAAAATGGAAGCAAGTTGGATCCCAAAGCAATCAAAAGTATTTTTGTTGGGTACCCCTACAACTAAGAGAGCTATAAATGCTACTCTCAAACTACTAAAAAGTTTTCCATCCTTGAACAACAATCATTATTTCCCAAACTTGTTATTAAAGGGTTTCTTAGAATATTAGTTTTGGAATCTTATTCTAAAAATTCCCATCACTAATCCTACTCAAATTCATGAGAAGCCACAAAAAATCCAGCTATCAATTTGTATTCCCTTCCTTCCACTCAAAATTAGGAATCAATCATAAGTCAATCATGCATATACCAAAACCAAGTCCAAGAGTCTAAACTTGATCCAATCTTAGCTAGAACACCAAAAGATACTAAGGATAATGAACTCCTTAATAATAATATTTTCTGTGATGAACTTGAAAAATATATTGCCTTGATAAAAAAGTTTAATAAGTTACACTAACCATAATTTCCACAACTTTGTCTCTTGTACTAATCTCTCACCGAAATTTAAGCTTTCATCGACAATCTCACTCAAGCATAGATTCCTAAATCCAACCATTATTCCATCAACATTCCTAAATGAAAAGTAGCCCTTCTTGAAGAAATGAAAAGTAGATGTTCTTGAAGAAATGCAAACTCTAAAAAAAAATTATGAGATTTCAGATCTACTCCCAGGGAAGAAACCCATTGGATGCAAAGCAATGGTTATTTATTATCAAATATAAATCTGATGGGAAAATATATAATGTTCAAACCCTGCTTTATTGCAGAATTATACATTCAATTATAGGATATAGAGTATCAAAAAAATTTTGCACATGTTGCTAAACTCGACACCATTTTGGGTTCTCTTATCTCTGGTAATAAACCTTGACTGACCAATACCTTGATGTTAACAGGAACTTGAAGATGAGATATAAATAAGAAATACTCTTGGATTCAACTGAAAATTCTTGCCTAATAAATAATAAATCCCCATACAACTGAAATAATCTCCTTAATCAAGTTTGATAGGTTTTCTAAGTTGCTTAAAATTATGCGTAAACTCAATGTCAAACTAACCACGCCTTATTTATGAACAAATTTACTTGACAAAAATTAGGTGTCCTAATTACATATATGAATTGATAGTTTACTCACAATAACTTTTAGTGAGAAGATAACAACCACCAAATAACTTTTGTCACAAATATTTGGGGAATTTTTAAGTATTTATTAGGAATAGAGTTTGCAAGATCTCCCAAAGGTATCACTGTCAGCATGAATATGTTCTGGACATTTTAGAAAACAAAATTAGGATGTTTGGATGCAAACATATCGATACTACTATGAATCCCAAACTTAAACTAAGATGAAAACGGATAGTGCTCATTTTGACAAAGGTCGTATAAAAAACTAAAAGGAAAACGCTTATAGCTCACTTGTATTTGGCCTAATATTTGTTTTTTCGGTAAGCTTGGTAAGCCAATTCATGAATAAACAAATTAAAGAACACATGGATACTATTATATGAATCCTGAGATATCCAAAAATAACCCCTAGGAATGGACTATACTCAAAAGAAATGCACACAAAAATATTGAAGTGTTCACTGATATTGATTGGGTTGGGACGGTGATTAATCACATATCGATCTCAGGATATTATACATTCACATGGGGTAACATTAACATGAAGAAATAAAATTAAGAAAAAAAAAAACACATTGTGGTCAACACTACTGAAGATGAATTTAGAGACATGGCCCATGAAATTTATGAAGAAATTTGGCTAAAATGACTCATTAATGAGTTGCCTATACAATAAGAATATTTTAGATTACTATGTGACAACTAAGCTGCAATCAATATTGCCAAGGATCAAGTTGATCGTGGCTCTGTCAAGAAGCAACTTTGACAACCTAATCACTACGCTAAAAATTTTAAATATTTATTATCCAGCTTCAAGGTAGTGTTGGAAATATGATCCTATATGATGATTTGGAGATTACCCCTAATTTGGTTGCCTATTTTTCAAGATGAAATTATAGAGTTATGCACTTGCCTTTTCCAGTTTGGTGCAACTGTTATTTTAGCAAAATATTGGATTATGTTACAATATTTACCTCTTGGATTATAATGCATATTTAGTACTGATTTCCAGCACATGGGGTGTCCAGCTATTATTATTAGTGCCCGAAATTGATTTTCTCTTTACCTTATTTCCATTGAAGTTTATTCCATTAACAACCTCATGTTTAACCCAAATAAGGGTCTCACATTTTTAACAACATGTATTAGTAAATTTCCTGTTTAGGTGTATTTGATATAATTCCTTGTTGTGTTTCTCCATCACTGCATATATGTATGTACTAGTTTCTTGATGAATAAAGCAATGAAAAACAATTCTCTCTTCTCTCTTCTCTCTCTGTGTCAGATTTCTTCATGCACTAAAGTCCTTTCTTCTTTATTGTTTTTTAAATAACAATACCTCTTTTATAATGGGGGTTCCACAACACACTATCCCCTAAGTTGGTTTTGACAATACAACAACAACAACATCAAAGTATCAAACCTTTCTACCACTATGAGGGGTCGGCTACATGAATCTTTTTTCACCATTGTGACCTATTAAGAGTCAAATTCTCATTTAAATCTAATAAAGAAAGGTCTTTTCTAATATTTGCCAACCAAATCTTTTTAGGTCTACCTCTATCTTTCTTAACATAACTAAATTCTAATACATCTACTTTTCTAATCTGGTCATCAAAACACCGCCTTTTTATGTAACCAAAACAGACGACTCTGTCTAATCTTATCTTCCACTGGAGCTACTCCAACCTTTTAACGTATATGCTCATTTTGTATCCTATCTCTAAGAGTAAAGCCACTCATCCACCTGAGCATCCTCATCTCTGTAACACTTAATTTAATACTATGCTTCTCTTTTAATGGCCAATATTCTACACCATAAGTTGGTTCTGACAATACCCAACAAAATTTGAAGGGCATTTAAAAGAAACAAAATATATGAAAAACAATGAGAAAATTTGGACCTCTATATCTATCGAAGTAAACAAGCAAAGCATGAGAGAGCTTAATATGTGTTCAAGAATTGGCTCATTCGATTTTTTTTTTTTTAACTTTTGGTCATTTTCAAAAATATTTGTAAGCATAATGTTCATGTTCAATTCATTCAAACTCTAATGAGCTCATTTGACATACGCCCAGCTCGAATTACATGTATACATCCATTATATCCAATGTACTGTTTGTTAACAACCAACTCTTTTACCAACCATATCCAATGTACTAATTCACAATTATCTTTTCGTAACACCTGAACAATTTATGAATTATTAGCGATCCTTTACAAGCCCCCCGTTCTTCTTCCAGTATTCAAAATGGCACAAACTTGAGTTTCTTTAGTGGAAGTTGTTGAATTTGTTGGATGAAATAGCCAATGAAATAAGAGAGCGATTCTCTTAGACCTTAGTGAATTAATTTATGGTTTATCCATGGGAATTTATATAAATAGCTTAGCCTTCAAGAGCATAGAGTAGAGCATTAAGGTAATTTGTGCATCTCCAGTCAAGGACGAGTTTACCATCTCGACATCAAAGGTTTAGAGTTGCGTTTAGACCATTTCTACATTCAAAAACATCAGAATATATTTTGGGGTCATTTGTTTAAATAAAGTTGTGATTCATATAAATAGATGCTAGAAGAAACAAGAATTTATAGAAAATTTGTAGAAAAAAATAAGGGAGATAAGTAATACAAGACAAACTTCTCATGCTACAAAATTAGCAGAACAATGAAAATAGAACTTACCGCTTTTTATTTCAGATTTTGAAGCATTTTTGGATACTCCAAGTACTGAGTAGTAATCCTGCATGAATAAAAGTCATTAACATCTTGAAAAAATGCGAAATATCATTTTTTCAATTTTATGTAATCCACCTGCTCAATCTCTCCTATGAAAGTGGCATTTCGACTTAATTCAAGTCAATTTGAACAACTTCTAATCAATATTGACTTTGGCTTAGTGCGCCTTCTTTTTCATACTACTAAACCACACAAATGTAGCTTCTATTGTTATCTACATAATTTTCCAAATCATCTCAAACCATTATCTACTGTCTAACACAGATTGACACTAACTACACATTTTCTCTAATATAATTATTTAGCATATTATCTTCTAATCGCCAAATTATTTACCTTTTTGTCATTTTAAAAGTTACATCCATTTTCTTATTTGGATTAACCCACAATAAACATCATTGAAATTCTCTTATTAATTTCCTTTAAAATCATTCATGTAAAACTTAAAATAACATATCCGTCCTCCTTAATAGCTTGATTAAAAATCATATATTTTTCGCTCCTAAGAAAATCCATTGCCAAAACTTGTTCTCCTCTTTCTTAAATCAAAGCTGTCCTGCATATCACTTTCTATGAATCTTCGAAATTACTTCCTAGACCAATAATTACCTATCAATATCAAGCAAAACTCTGGAGTTTACTTACATACCTACTGCCCCACAAATTATTAATTATCACAAGTTTATGCAAGCGTGTAAATTTGAATGAACATACGATGAGTGATAGAGGAATATCAAATATGCAATGACACTCACTGAATCAGCTCTAACAGTAAGCCTGGCACCTCTTCGCCGGCCAGTATTTTGCAACAGTCCACTATTAAATAGAGAAGAAGGTACTTGGGCAATGAAACCTGAAGAAGCTGAAGCCAAATAGTTTTGCTTGGCCAAACCGCTGCACATGTAGCATAAAAAATAAGGATAAAAAAAGGAAATATGATTTTTAAACAAATTAAACATGGTAAATCCTTTACAAGCCTATTAAATAGGAGGATAAATCACATTTGTAAATCAATCCATTTGAACTTCATATTGACCAGCATAAAGTTCCAAAGCAATTTTGAAACCGTTGGCTTGATTCAGCCAGTTCTTTTTATTTTTTGAGAACTTAAATGAAAGGCATTACAAAAATTGGCTAGCATCTAAAAAGAATGGAACACGCTACAGATTTCAGATAAATCACAAATTGTTAACGGCCCTAGCCACAATGGCTTTAAAAAATGCATTTACGAGCAACTGCTACTATGTTATTATTTAATTCTACGAGCATAAAAGCATTACAACAAAAAATAATACCCAAAATAAATACTCATACTTCAATGCTTTGGCCATGAATCCATAAAAGATGCCTTAAAAAAAATAAAAATAAAAAACTTATCACAAGATGAACTGTAATGCACACAAAAAAGCAAAAGAATTTGTAACATTGAATTATGCATACATTAACAGCTTCCTTCAAAAGTAACTTACCCTTGCTGAAGAAAACTAGAACACTTGCCTCCCTTGCGACGGGTTTATCATTTTGTTACAACCACTAACATATGAGAGCTATGATACACGAACAAGATACGACGCAGACACGAGACACGTCAATTATTAAAATATAGGATACATATAGGAGTTAAACAGTGCATTATAATTTTATATCTTAAAAAATAGTGTATAAAAAATTAAATAAATAAATATTAAGATAATTGACAAATAATAAATCATTTAAGTAGGTGTGCTTAGAATGATTAATATGTCGAGAGTCGGGTGTCCATGTCATTGGTCAACCATCGAGAGAGAAGATGACAATGATGTCGAGAGTCGGCCATCGATGTTATAAAATGGGTATCAGGCACTAATATCAAGAGGTTGTCAGTCATCGATGATGAGAGGGCATCTACCGTCGATGTTGAGAGGCCGTTGAGTAAAGATGAGATGTCAAGATAGCACAAAAGCGTGAATGTGGGTGTAGAAACAGCTAGCGTCAATGTTAAAAAAATCATCAAACTTTGATGTTGAGATAATTTTAAAATATTGATGTTATAGCGACATCAGATGTCAATGTTGAGATCTCATCATAAGTTTTTATAAAACCCTCGCTACGACCTGCTAAAGAGAAATGAAAATGGAAATGTTGGATGAATAGGGTATTTGAGTGCGGGCAATCAATTTGGTGTTGTGGAGGAAAAAAAGAATTTTACATTTAATTTTTTAAATAAATAAAAATTTGAAATACGAAAAATTATATTAAAGAAATTCATAAATATTTAAAATGCAGGTGTCCAATTTATTTTTAATATTTTTTTATCGGACACATCTTCAATGTGTTTGACACGTATCGGAGGCATGTCGGACATTGCATGCCTCTTTGAGGAAAGTGTCAGTGCATCATAGTATGAGAGTTTAAAAAAAACCAAATTTTAATACATCATATTATGGTTTAAAAAATAGTGTGAGGTGCACGCCTCGAACAAAGGCGCACAATGAGCATCTCGAGGCTTAAGCCTCACTATTGTCAATGAGACATGCCTTTTTTAAATGGGGCATATGCCTCAAGGCATTTTGAGGCAATGCATCATTATGGTTAAATTTTATAATTTTTTATTATATATTATTATTAATCATGTATATATATATACAAAGAGAAGGAACCAATAAGCTATAGGACGGATGAACAAGGTTGTATAGTTGTGTTGTGTTTAATAAAAATTTGAAAAATAAACACTTCAAATTATAGAGGTGAATAATTGGTGATGATGAAATAAATCCTTTGGTTGATAATGATATATCTAATGATGAATGGATAATAGCAAAAAATAGTGAAAGATTTAAAATTGAAAATGGAGGAATGTATTTGAAGATGAGGAGAATGAAGATTCAAATGCTAATATTAAAATGAATATTGAATTGATAATAACTTATACTTCACAATTAATTTAAAGTGGTAAAGTGGAGTTCAAGCTTAAAAGAAATCAAATAGAGATCAAAATATAATGGATTATTTGTTGTGTTATTGATTTGTTGCTTTATTTTATATTACATTGAATCCAATGTTAATTAATATGGGGCGTTAAAAAAATGTTATAATGGAAAAAGGTTTAGAAGATGACAATGTTACAAAATTCAATGATGATATAATTATTACATACGAGGTTATTATGAAGAATATGAAAGTAAGAATAAAGCCGCCGTGGATCCTGATCTTTATAGTGTATTTAAGTTTTAAATGGGTATTTACTTTGAATCTTATTTCAAATTGAAGAACTCTACCAAGTAATGGTGATGCACATGGTGAATGCAAGGTAAACAAGGCAATTAACCATAATCCTAAAACAAGACTTAGCAAGCTAAATATATTTCAGGATTCAAGCAAGTAAAAATGATACACAAATGACAACTCCAGAAAATTCTGCCTCAAGGACAACATACTTGAGGCCTGTTTTCAAAAAATAAATAAATAAAATAAAAATAAAAATAAAAAACTTGAGGCCTGTTTTCAATGAGCAGTGTGTAATATCCTTCTGAAGACGAGCATTGGCAGAAAACTGATAATATGGACATTACAATGGATGTTATTCTCCTTGGGCCAAAAGCAAGACGTCATAGTTATGCATGCTTCTACCACCATGAGTGTGATATCTCAACAAATGATGCCAAGTTTATTAGGTTTTTTTATGTTTATTTTATTTTTTATAATTTAGTTAAGCAGCTATCCGTTGATAAGACTAGACATTTGCAAGAGGATGTACCTTGGTGTATGCTTTTTACTGATGATATTCTTCTTGTTAATGAGACTAGTGAGGGGGTTGAAGATAAACTTGAATTATGGAGGTCAACCTTAGAGTCTAAAGGTTTTCACTTGAGTAGATCTAAAACAGAATATATGGAGTGTAATTTTAGTAGTAATAGACCTAGTGAGGGGATTGTGACTTTGGACGATCAAGTCATTAATAAGAGTACACGTTTTAGATATCTTGGATCTATTGTTCAGAGTGATGGTGAAATAGATGGGGATATTATCAGAAGAATTCAAGTTGGATGGTTGAAGTGGAGGAATGCATCGGGCTTAGCTTGTGTTGTTGTTATAGTTAAGCAACTGTCCGTTGCAATTGCGTGCATTTACCATTATTATAAATTTGTGAATTTTCAAAGGGCATCTTGAGGAAATTTTCTTGGAACAAAGATGGGAATGTAAATGCAAGGTTTGCTTGGGTTCTACGAAAGAAAAAAAATGAAAAGAAAGAAAGAAAAGCAGTTAAAGTGTAGGCGTTGTTGGCAGCACACAAGATGATAATGTGCTTTCAATAAGACCTTGGATAATCAAAATCAACACGACTAGCCTAAATGTTGTGATTTAACAAGCCTTTGTACATTTTTATGCCAAAATAATGACAAGTTTCATAACATTAGCCTATTCTTATTCATGTTCAACGACTTGAGTTATCCAATTGCTTCCTAATATATTACCAAGTTTAAGGGTTCCTTGGTAGAATCTCCACTGGAATAATTAAGACCTAATTTTGATTAATTAGTATGCCAGCTTTAGGCCCTAACTTCCAATTCAGCAGGGTTTTGAGGAATTAGTTGACTTCATGCGTCCAATTTAAGTTGTATCGGGATTCCCCTAGGAGTATTTGTTAGAGGTTAAATTTATGGATGCAACATTGTGCAAATATTTGTTAGCATCAAAATAATAAACTTCTCTACCACATGCTTGATGTCATTAATGTCCTCATTACGTTGCCAAGCTAACAGCAAGTTCATTCAAATTCAGCAAGTTTTTTTAGGTCGTTACATTTAAAAGCTCCCTTTTAAGTTTCAGAAAACATAAGATGGCCTTGATTTTTCAGAAAATTTGCACCAATCTTGTGAATCAACAAATTAATGAATAAAACTTCTGGGTTCAGCTTTGTTGCTTGAATGGCTATTAACAATCCAATTGTAAACTATCATATAAATTTATGTTAATAGGGAAAAAGGAAAGCTCCAGAGGCTCTCAAATCACACAAAGGATTAAAAGTTCCTTTCTCAAAGGTTGAGGTAGTTTGATAAATCGAGTAAACGGGCTTATTCTCCTTTGTGTTGGTCGCCAAGCACTTGGTTCAAAATGTTTATGTAGACTACAAGTTCAATGATTTTTTAATGTTATTTTTTACTTGTAAGTTTATTGATCTTCAGTTGTTAAAAGGTTACATTAACCAACTTTTGTTGATGAATGTAGTGATTTCCAATGATCCATGAATCCATAAATTGGTTGTTCCTGATGTCCAACGAGCTTGGAGAGTCCACGGACTTCCTAATTTCTGTCTAATCATGTCTGCCGGTCTGCATCTATCCGGAAGCTTCCAAGTTTGCTTCATCTACCTCATCGATTGATGGGATTTCTCCCTTCGCTTTGTGTATAATTAAATATAATAAATATCTGAATTCAAATATTCATATCATGTATAATTATTCTTCATTTCTAGTTGTTTCTATTTAGGAAAATATTTTATTACTGCCTATAGAAAAATCGTGAATCATTTCCTTTATTTTTAACTAACTTGTACTCTAGTATCCGTGCAATTGTACCAATAAAGATTTCATATATTTTTACATGCTCTCGGAGCAATTTTCAGATCAATTTTTACATTTTTTTTGTTTTTAAATAACATCTAAAAAAATAGCAAAATACGTGTGCTTGCCTATTTTTATTTTTAAAACCAAATTATATTATGTAAGAAAATACTAAAAACAAATTGGACTTTTTAATTCAAAAATTTTTTTTTTCTACAACAAAATTCCCAACTCTCATTATACTACGTACATCTTTGTCATCTAAATTGCTGTTTATTCTACTACTTCGAGCAGAGCCTTCACTGTCGACACTTAGGCTGCTACTATCGCACTCCTATAGTCTCTTTGATG